GAGCTATAGCAGGTCGTGAATGACAGCAACAGTCCCACAAAACGGATCACTGTACCTGTTTTCGTAACACCTTTCTCCCTGGTGCTTCTGGAAAAATGGAATATTTCTAAATTTCCCTCGCCGCATTCTCTGGAGAGAGAGAGAAAGAATATCACGTTCCCGTGTCCCTAAGACTCAGAATGGGTTAATTTCTTGAAGGTTATTCGGAACCCTGGGGCTTCCTAAGGAAATAGCACCCCTACCCAAACCTTGCCCTCCTGGAATGTGTTAAGGCACAAAACACATACCTGCTCTTAGAAGACTTGACTAAATCACAGGTTTCGGTAAGTTTAAGTGAAATATAATAGATTCTAATAATCAAAGCCCCTTACCTTACAGAAATATGAGCTTAACTCCTAGCTCCAGGCAAGTCATTGGGTCTTTTCCCCCAGAAGACTTCAGGGGAAGATGGTTGTTTGTTTCCAGTCTCCAATTCATGTTTGCAGCTTGAATCTTTCCTCTGAAATTCAGACCTGATGGTCCAGGTGCCTGTTTGATAGCTCACTTTGATGTCTTAAAGCCTTAGCACCTCTGAAGTCTTTACTGTAAAGCTGCCTGCCTTCTCAGGGAGGCCTTCCTTTCTCATAAAATTACAGTAGAGCCTTCCCACCTCCAGTGATCCTGATCAATCCTCTCTGCTTCATTTACTGCCTTACATATTATAATTCACTTATTCATTTTATTAAATAAATAATTTATGCCCTTAATAAATAAATTTATTCCCTCAGCCATAACTCAAACTCCATAAGGAAAGGTGTCGGGAATGGCTAGGTTATGCCTGACATACAGTTGGTCATCAATGAACGATGAATGAGGCGCACCTGGTAACTCAGTCGGTTAAGCATCCCACTCATGGTTTCAGCTCAGGTCATGATCTCAGGGTCGTGAGATTGAGCCCCGGGTCAGGCTCTGTGCTGAGCACAGAGTCTACTGGAAATGCTCTCTCTCCCTCTCCCTCTGCACCTCCCCCTGCTGGTGTGGGCTCTCTCTCTTTCTCTCTCTTTAAATAAATGAAATATTTAAAACAAATAAAAGAATGATGAATGAATGAATGAAAGTTAAAATGTTGAGAGCATTAGATTTTTTTTTTTTTAAAGATTTTATTTACTCATTTGAGAGAGAGAGAATGAGAGATAGAGAGCACGAGAGGGAAGAGGGTCAGGGGGAGAAGCAGACTCCCCACTGAGCAGGGAGCCTGATGCAGGACTCAATCCTGGGACTCCAGAATCATGACCTGAGCCAAAGGCAGTCGCTTAACCAACTGAGCCACCCAGGCGCCCTAGATTGTTTTTTGAAGACGTTAGAAGATGGGGCTCCTGAGTGGCTCAGTCGGTTAAGCATCTGTCTTTGGCTCGGGCCATGATCTCAGGGTCCTGGGATCAAGTCCCACATCGGGCTCCCTGTCAGCAGGGAGTCTGTTTCTCCCTCTGCCCCTTCCCCTGCTCCTTCTCTCTCTCTCTCTCTCCCTCTCTCTCTCACTCTTTCTCAAATAAAGTCTTAAAAAAAGAGAATAAAAAGAAGAGATCAAATCATTTTATTTGTACTTCATGGAATTCTAGTTCGTACTTAATTCTACCTGGTAGAATAACTTCAGCGGGTGGCACCTGGGTGACTCAGTTGGTTGAGCATCCAACTCTTGATTTCAGCTTGGGTCCTGGTCTCTCGGTTGTGGGATGGAGTCCAGCATTGGGCATGGTGTTCAGCACAGGAGTCTGCTTGAGATTCTCTCCCTCTGCCTCTGCCCCTTCCCCCACTCGTGCGCTCTCTCGCACTCTCTCTCTCTCCCTCAAAATAAATGAATAAAATCTTTAAAAAAAAAAAAAAGGAATAACTTCAGGGGTCAAGTGGTGACCATTAAAGGTGTGAGGTCTATTTGACTAGGGTTTTGTTTGACAGCCTTGTTTATTTGTTTGCTTGGGGTGTTTTTGTTTGTTTTGTTTTTAAATTTAATTGCACTCCCAGTTTGCCATAGTCCCTACCACTCCCTATGTTCATACACTGGTCCTAGGGTTTTACACATTTCCTGTTCCTGACAGCCTCTGAAGACATTGAGTTTGACAGCTTCTACCCTTGTAGAAATTGGTTCAATGAATTGCTTAAACCTTTAGGTATAGTTTTAACCACATAATAATTTAGTGTGTCTTTGGGCAAATTACTAATATCTTTGGGGGTCTTCCAACTCTGAAATTCTATAAAGACATCTATTGGTTATTTGACACCATATGCTCAAGGTCATCTGAACTATTTTGGGTAATTCTTAGCTGGGCATTAAATGAAATGACAGTTCTCTATGTGATTCTTAGTCCCAGTGATTTCTAATATACAACAGATCACTTAAGTTTATAGATCAATGTATACTTTGAATTGAGATATAATGTCTCTAAATTCTTGTCCTTTGGTAAAACCAGTTTGTTTTTTCTATAACGTAATGAAAACTTAGATTCAGTCACATGGACATTCTTCCATTATAAATTGAATAATTGTAAGACAGTATTGCATAAGATTTACTCTAAATAACGTGGTCCATAAATTTAAGATTTACATTTCAATATACCAAGATTCTTAATCAGTCAGGCCATATAAATTCATTTGAAGATAAATCTTTTTAAAATTCTATTCATAGAAACCCCAAAGTTAAATCTACTTGGCAAAAAAGACCTTGAAAGTAAGCCAGAATAAAAGATTGAATTTAAAATACAAGGTTGGCAACTAATCAAGAATGGTCACCAGACTTCAAGCTCAAAACCTTCTGAATAAGAGTAATAAAAAACATTTTCCATCTCTAATGAAATTTAGTACTTTTTAGATTGATCAAAAACACATTTAGTCTTGGGGTGCCTGGGTGGCTCAGTCGTTGGGCATCTGCCTTCGGCTCAGGTCATGATCCCAGGGTTCTGGGATCGAGCCCCGCATCGGGCTCCCTGCTCGGTGGGAAGCCTGCTTCTCCCTCTCCCACTCCCCCTGCTTGTGTTCCCTCTCTCGCTGTGTCTCTCTCTGTCAAATAAATAAATAAATAAATAAATCTTAAACAAAACAAAACAAAACACATTTATTCTTAACATCAGGAAAAGAGATTCTACTGTAGTCTCAAACTTTTAGAGTTTCATTTAGACTTTCATTAATGAATCAAATAACACTTTGAATATGCCTACTATGTTAATAGTACCCTGGAGTGCAAGAAATACTGAAGGATACCTCCCAAATATTAACATTTGGATGGTAAACTCAAAAAGGTATTTTAAATGGCTACTGAAAAGAGTACATATAAATAAAGCAATTAAAAGACACATATGTAACCAAAGAAAGAAATATGATGATTTTAACTGTTTGAGATTCTTAGAAACTTTAAAAGAAATTATTCTTGGGGTGCCTGGGTGGCTCAGTCATTAAGCGTCTGCCTTCGGCTCAGGTCATAATCCCAGGGTCCTGGGATGGGTCCTGGGATGGATGCACCGGGCTCCCTGCTCGGCGGGGAGCCTGCTTCTCCCTCTCCCACTCCCCCTGCCTGTGTTCCTGCTCTCACTATCTCTCTCTCTCTGTGTCAAATAAATAAATAAAACCTTAAAAAAAAAAAAGAAATTATTCTTTGAAAAATTATACTGTAAAAAGAAGGAAAACTAAAACACCCATAATCAATGAACATAACAATGAATATAACAGTTTTTATTTTGCCTGTTACTTTCTTGCTTTGTCTGTAGGTAGTACATATATTTTTACATTTGTAATTATAGTGATTGAACAATTCTGTATTTGGCTTTTTTTTCATATAATTATGTTCTAAGCATTTTCCATATTGCCAGAGTCTTCATATTTATTATTAGTGATAGCATAATAGTCCATCAAATTTCTCAAGTCTTTCTTTGCTATTGTAATTTTAGTTTCTTCTCAGTCTATCCTTAAAATATTTAATTGTAACATTACTAACTATAATTCAGTACTGTCATTTTATTTCTTTGTTCTTTTGGTATATGCTGATTTCACTAATTGGGTTAAATCCTCAGCAGTTTCAAAGATCATGGAAGACACATATTAAATCAAGATTCATTTCAAGCATTCAGTGACCACAAGTCTTATAGTGCTGTGATACTTGTTAAAATTCCATTCTCGTAAAGGAATAGATTCTGGATTCAAGGTGACTTTGCTCAATACCAGCACTGTGTCTTGGGAAAATTTGCTTCAGCTCTCTGTGCCTTTGTTTTCCCATCTGTAAAACGGGATTAGTAATACTAAAATTGTTCTGAGGATTAAACAAGACAATGGATGTCAAACATTTACAACAATGCCTTTCATATTTAAAATGCTATAGAAATAATATCCCTTTTCATATTAGAAAAGCTTTATATATTCTCTGTGTCTTACAGGAATTCTACATGTAAACAAAACAAGTGGTGAGTTTTCAAATTTTAAAAGCAACTGTGAGATAATTTCTTAACCAGAAGCAACTTCTTTTATAATCAAGTTTTTGCAATAGTGAAATATATGTCAGTTCATTTAGCAGCAATTGGGTCCCAAGCTAGCAATCGTAGGTTAGTGTTTCCTCCAGTAAGAATAACTAGCAATTCGTCTAAGACATTTGTGAATCATTCTGTCAGCATAATCGTAATAGTAAGAGTGAAAGTAAAATAGTCACCATCTACTGAACACTATGAGCCAGGCAAAACAATTGGGCATTTAAAAACATTGTAAAATCTTTGTGACAACCTGGGAGGAAATATTATTATCCCAATCATCCCCAGACAGGGAGACAGACTGGGCGAGATGAAATGACCAGCCAAAACCCACACATGCCTAAAAAGCGATTGGTCCAAATTGACCCATTCGGATTGTATTAAGACTTGAAAAATGGGGAAGTAATGAGACTGAGTTCTCCCTTTAGGAGTATCCATCCACCAAGTCGCCCCCTGGAGTCCCATTAAACATCACAGGAGGTAAAATGCATTTTCTTCTTTTGCATGTTGTAGGTACGAAGATGGATCAAGAGCCCAATGGTCAGTGTGGACAAGCATCAGAGTCCCAGCCTGAAGTACACAGGCCCCTCGGTCATGCACATCCCTCCAGGGGAGCCAGATTTTGAGTCTTCCTTGTGTCCAACGTGCCTGGGAGACCATGCTTTCCAAAGAGGTGTTCTCCCTCAGGAGAAAGAGTCATGTTCATGGGAAACTCAATCCGGGTGTGAAGTAAGTTCATTTTCCTCTGGATCCATTATCCTGAAAGGATTCTAGGCCTTTGTTTTTCTTGTATTCATATCACAGTATGCCAAAAAAACAAAAACAAAAACCAAACATATTTAATACACATGTATAAAGCTTCTGAGGAAGATACAGAATGTGTATCTTCCTAGCCCACTGTAATAAATTGGGGGGGTGGGGGGGGAAGGGGAGAGGGAGAACCTCAAGCAATCTCCATGCGGGGCTTGCTCCCACAACCTTGAGATCATGACCTGAGCTGAAATCAAGAGTCAGATGCTCAACTGACTGAGCCACCCAGCCATCCAGTACTAATTTTTCTTAATAGCCTTATTAGAAAAATTTTAGCTTCACAGCAAAATTGAATGGAAGGTATAGAGATTTCCCATGTACTCCCTGCCCCCACACAAATATAGCCTCCTCCACTCTCAACACTCCTCACCAGAGTGGTATATCTGTGCCAATTGAAGGACCTATGTTGACACGTCATCACCCAAAGACCATAGTTTGTATTAGGGTTTGCTGTTGGTGTTAAGTTTGGACAAATTTATAATGACATATATCCATTATTAAAGTATCATATAGAGCAGTTTCGCTGCCCTAAAAATCCTCTGCACTCTTCCTGTTCATCCCTCCCCTCTCCCATACCCTGGCAACCATTGATCTTTTTACTCTTCACAGTTTTGCCTTTTCCAGAGTTGGAATATAGTTGGAATCATACAGTATGCTACACTGACTTTAATGCTGTTCCAAGACTGATACAACCATATTTTGGTCAACTAGAAATCCTTCATAAGTTGTTTGATCACACAGAGATCAATTCTTGTATAATGCAAAAAATATATCGTAACCGTCATCGATGGGTTTGTAGCCTTCACTGAAGTATTTATCTCAATCTGATTTGACCCACAAGAGAGCACTATATCAACCTATATTTCACTATTTTTCCCATATGTAGTACTCATATTTTTTCCTGTATACTCAGATTTTTCACTAAGACTTAATTTATCCTACTCCACCAAGAGTTTTGTTTTTTGTTTTTCAATTTTGTTAATCCAAGGAAGCCAGATAACTGCCTTATCTTGCAGGTTCTAAGATTTCAAAAATTTAAAATTGTATTTTTCACTTATAACTCAGTTAGGCTTATATTTATTTTGACTTTTTAAACCCTTAGATTAAATGCTTATGTTATTTTTATTATCATCTTATTAACATAAAACCACAAATTAGGAAGACCGTGCATGTTATTACAAAGTACAATTAATTGCAAATCATCTACCAATACATTATTTTAGAACAGTGCATTATAAGATGATAAATGTTAATAACTCCTTCCTGCTTTTTGTTTTTCCTGAAGGAAATGTTTTCCAGAGATAAAGGAATCATTTTAGCTGCTAAAAATGCTTGACTCTGAGTTCAACTCTAGGATATGCAATGTCTCAGAATCTGTTTCCTGCCTACTTTCTAAGGTTACTGGAAAGATCAAATGAGATAACACATATAAACTATTTCATAACCTAGAAAGTGTCATGCAAATAGAAATCATTATTACTTATGCTTGCTGATTTACATAGTAGCTAAGCCTATGAATCTGTAACACTAAATTAGACTTCCATGACTTAGGTTAGCACTTCGCTGATCTATGAACATTTGCCTAGACACTGGCTCAACTCCAGGTTGACCATAGAAGGCAATAAATAGATTCTAAATGCAAGGATTGGCAAACTTTTTCTGCAAAGGGCCAGAGAGTAAATGTCTTAGGCTTTGCAGGCCATTCAGTCGCTGTCATTTCTGTTCCGCTCTGCCCTGTAGGGAAAGCAGCCATAGATAATATACAAATGAATGGGCCCAACTGTGTTCAAATAAAAGTTTTTATTTACAAAAACATGTGGCTGGTCCACCCGCCTTAGTTTGCAGACTTTTAGAGTCGAAAAGAATTTGCCAACTCCTTAGAGTCTAAAGAACTATTCATAACTTGGAGGTAGAAAGAGAGCTCTAGAAATCCTATACAGAGCAAAAAGGCCTAGTACTAAATGTTTACTTGAGGGCCTGGTATATGGCGCATTTGTTAGGAGCTAGGGATAGATTAATGAATAAATGGAATTCCATATAAGAGGAAACAATAAACAAAGAGCTGGAAGGAATTTAAGGCAACACTGTGATTCATCCTTTTACTTTATCTGGAATAATAGGTGAATCATTCTCCAATTTACAATGGATAAACTGGCTCTGACTTTGCTGAGTTTTTTTTCCTAAGGTCACCACAAATCAAGAAGACACTTGATATGTTAACAATTTAACAATGAACTTACATTTTGGGTTCCTATTGGGATTAAACCATGAGATAGTTCCTTGAGAAGGCACCTCTGCCCTTTCAGGAAGTGGCCTTGTATGATAAGATGGAGAGGCTGTTAGATACACAGGCCTAGTAGCAAAGACTCTTAATTTTTTCCTCTGACAACTCCTGATGTGGATAATTTTAAGCAAGTCATTAATTCATCCTTCCCCTTCAGTGTTCCCTCCTATGAAAATTGAGATTATTCACGCTCACCATCTGGTCTATCCTGGGTTTTTTTTTTAGTAATTTGAGGATGAGATGGGATTTTTTAAATATTTTGTAAGTGTAAACTTACGTGTAAATAGTGTGCTGGAGTCAAGCAACTCACATTCTGATGCCAACTCTGCCACAGTCAATATACAAACTCGATCAAGTCACAAAACCTCTCAAACATATGATGAGCCTAACCCAATTAACTCTAAAGCCCTTTTTAGTCTGAAATCCTACAGTTGGAATTTGATGATCTATAAATGAAAACAAACTCTGTACCTGGCATGAAAAGATAAAACATAGAAAATGAGGTAAGAATGTTTTAAATAAAATAAGAGAGCAAATCAAATGCTAGCCCTTTAAGAATATGGGGGAAGGGGGTAGGTTCTGACTTCAAAAATAGTACATTCTAGGGGCGCCTGGGTGGCTCAGTTGGTTAAGTGTACAACTTTTGATTTTAGCTCAGGTCATGATCTCAGGGTTACGGGATCGAGCCTCACGTGGGGCTCCACACTGAGCGTGGAACCTACTTAAGATCCTCTCTCTCTGTGCCCCTCCCCCGACTCGTGCATGCACTCTCTCTCTCTCTCTCTCAAAAAATAATAATAATTCAAAAAATAGTACATTCTAAATGCTACTTTTAATGTCCAAAACTTGGTAAGAGTTATATTGCAGTTAGTTTGTGCCAGGCTTTGCCAATAGTCTAGTTAGTGGCCTTTAAACCTGTTTCTCCCATGGAAGAAATTAGGATATATGTATTGCCAATAAATCACCCAGAAGAATAGCAATATTGTGATGTTACTAGTAGTGCTGTCTAAAATGGACTGTTTACACATTAAACAGACCTTTATGGAAATGGGTTGGTTAGATGATAACACTGAGCTCTGTAAGCTATTACTGAGTAATACATGCTAGTGGAACTCAAGTTGTAGCATTTCAGCCTGAAATCAACTTTTGGGCCATAAAGAAATGGAAACCAAAGTAGCTTTTCAATGGGTGCATGCTGACTAAACATATTCACAGACTTTGTTCTGTACCATCTCTCTCACAGCATCTTCAATATCCAGATCAACTAAGCTGGAAGGAAAGGAAAGGATGTTTTAGAATAGGAATAGGAAAGGAAATCTAGACTAAAGGAAAGCATAGGACTGTTCAAGAAGGCGGCCTAAGCATAACATGTCCTCTCTCCTTCCTGCCTTAAATGACAGGAAAACACACACACATACGCACACATTTTAATTTATAATAGTGCTAGAAAACAAGGTATGCCATTGTATAAATAAGAGACAATTAAGAATCTTTGAAAAACAGAAGGCAGGTAGGATTATGAAGTCCATGAGGAAACCACAGTCCAAAAGGGTCACATCAAAGAACCACTCCCACAGATGGGAACACTGCAAGCCTACATATTCGGAAAGGACTCAGTAAGTTGGAAAATAAAGATGTTTTGGGCAAGGTCTAATAAAAGGAATGTAGTTTTAGCAATATAAATTTCAGACAAAATACAATCTAAGACAAAAAAATTCAAAAAAACAAAGAGGAATATTTCACATTGATGAAAGATATCTGCCAAGAAGATAAAACATTCACAAACCTGGGGCACCTGAGTTGCTCAGTTAGTTAAATGTCTGACTCTTGATTTTGGCTCAGGTCATGATCTCAGGGTCATGATCTCAGGCTTCTGAGATTAAGCCCCACATCAGGCTCTGTTCTTAATGGGGAGTCTGCTTGAGATTCTCTTTCTGCCTCTGCCCTCCCTCCCACATATATGCTCTCTCTCTCTCTCTCAAATAATAAATAAATAAATCTTAAAAAAAAATTCATGAACCTTTTTTGTACTTAACTACACAACATGGAGGTCTTTAAAACAACCACTAACAGAAATACAAAGAAAAATTAGTTGATTTGTGTCAAAGAGGGAAATTTTTATCATACTTCTAGTCTTTCGAGAAGACTAAAAATATGTAAGGGTAGAGGATTTTAATAAAGCAATTAACCAAATATGATTTATGTGGAAATTTGTATCTAATAAACAAAGAAAACACATTATTTTAAGCATACATGGAACAATTGCATAAACTGACCAAGAATTAGATCATGAAGCATATCTCATCAAATTCCAAAAAGCAGAAATCACACAGGCCACACGAGCTGATTATAATTTGGTAAAATTAGAAACAAACAACAACACGAGAGCCAACTGCCATCCCTGGCCAAACCTTTCACCTAGAATCCATGAACACCCTACTATTAACTCTGGGTTCACTTAGAAGATGAAAAAAGGAAATTAAAATCGTTTAAGTGCTTATTCCACCACCAAGAAAATGCAAAATGAAACAATGAGATTGTATTTGCTTTTAAGCCATCAGATTGTCAAAGGGTTGAAAAGATGGATAATGTCATAGTGGTAAAAATATGGGCCAAAATGCTGCTGGTAGAAGTT